AATGCCACATGTGTGAACAGTGATGGTTCTTACTCATGTCAATGCCCAGTTGGATTTCGTCTTGATGGAAAGAATTGCACGGGTTTGTAGCTACTGTATTTTACTTTGCGGCTATTTAAGCCAGATCTAGATACGAGAGATACTTATCAATTTGTAAGATTCGCCCAAATTCACAACGATTTAAAATAAAAGTAGTAACAATTAAGCCGAAACAGGCCATATCGCAATCAAAACAATCTAGGGACTGCACCTATGTTTTGCTATCCCTTGAGTTAATTGACCAATTAGCTTTCAAATGTATGACTGATACCACTACTTACGTGAAATATCAATGTTAAACCCTGAATGTTATGTCGTACGTAAATACGTAGAGATTTGATTGTAGCTTTTGTCTTGAATTCGGAGAACGAGATTCCATTACATTTTTTGTACATGTACCTTTAAAATTTTCAAACGAGATACCATTACATTCTTGTGCTTTTAAAATCTCCTTTCGAATTTTAACCTACTTTTGTGACAGCGCATAATACTCTTTCCCTCTATACATCTCTTTCTCATCTATAATTCTTGGCATAGATGAGACTAAGAGGCTGAAAAATAGCCTAATGCCAAAATTTCCGTTACCTCTTGCTTTCATTAGGACGCCAATGGAAATCCCCTGATGCGATTGGTTTCTATTAGACACTTTACCCCTCTTTAGTGGGTGATCCCTTCAAAACGCGGTTGTGTTTCTGCTAATCTAAATTAATTATATTTTGAAACTGTCACGAATTGATCGAGTAAAAACAACCTTATAAGCACTCTAAAAACAAATTTATTACTGCCACGAACAAGTTTAGAACATGTTTACTTTCTTTCATGTTTTGTTTCATTTCTTAGAGTTCAGCACTGTATTTACGAATCTTGGCGCAAGTGGAAGAAATGGTCCAACAACACTTGGAAGTCACTACACAGGTCAGGATCATGACGGTCAAGTTACACTGTCCAGCGGTATTCAACAATGGACTGTGC